ATCAAAAGTCACGTCGATCTTAGGTACACCTCTCGGAGCCGGAGGAATGCCAGTCAGATCGAACGTTCCCAGCAGATTGTTATCCTTGGTCATGGCCCGTTCTCCCTCGAACACTTGAATGGTAACAGCCGGCTGGTTGTCCGCATACGTGGTAAACGTTTGCGTTTGTTTGCACGGAATTGTCGAGTTGCGCTCGACGATCTTGGTCATCACACCACCCGCGGTCTCAATGCCCAATGACAGAGGGGTCACGTCCACGAGTAACACGTCTTGGATGGCAGAGCTCGTGTCACCGCTCAGAATGGCCGCCTGCACGGCAGCACCGTAAGCGACCGCTTCGTCGGGGTTTATGGACAGGTTTAGCGGTTTGCCGCAGAAGTAGTTTTGCAGGAGACTCTGGATCTTCGGAATCCTCGTAGAGCCACCCACGAGCACCACGTCGTGTATGGAACCCTTGTCCAACTTGGCGTCAGCCAACGCTTTCTCCACCGGCTGCAGGGTCGATCTGAAAAGGTCTGCGCACAGCTCCTCGAAACGTGCTCGGGACACCCTGGTGTAGAAATCGATGCCTTCCATTAGGGCGTCGATCTCTATAGTGGCCTCCGAGCTGGACGACAACGTTCTCTTGGCCCGTTCCGCAGCGGTCCTTAACCGTCGCAGAGCCCTAGGGTTGCCGCGCACGTCCTTCTTAAACTTCCTCTTGAACTCCTCAGCCAGATGCGACACCAGCCGGTTGTCGAAGTCCTCGCCACCCAAATGCGTGTCCCCAGCAGTGGACTTTACTTCGAATATCGAACCCTCGTCTATCTGCAGCACAGACACGTCGAACGTGCCGCCGCCAAGATCGAATATCAACACGTTCCTCTCACCTTTTAGGTTCTTGTCCAGACCGTACGCCAACGCCGCCGCTGTCGGTTCGTTGATTATCCTCATCACGTTCAGTCCGGCAATTGCGCCCGCGTCCTTGGTTGCTTGCCTCTGCGAGTCGTTGAAATACGCCGGCACCGTGATCACCGCGTCCGTTACGGTCCGTCCCAAGAACGCTTCGGCCGTCTCCTTCATTTTCGTCAACACCATCGAACTGATCTCTTCCGGGGCGAACACTTTGTTCTCACCTTTGAACTCCACTTGCACTTTCGGCTTACCGCAGTCGTTTACCACTTTGAACGGCCAGTGTTTCATGTCCGCTTGCGTTTTTTCGTCGTCGAAACGACGGCCGATCAACCGTTTGGCGTCGAACACCGTGTTCTTGGGGTTCATCGCTACCTGGTTCTTGGCTCCGTCGCCGATCAGCCGCTCGGTGTCGGTAAACGCCACATAACTTGGAGTGGTCCTATTACCTTGATCGTTGGCGATGATCTCCACTTTGCCGTGTTGCCAGATACCCACGCATGAGTACGTGGTGCCGAGATCGATACCGATTGCCGTTTTACCGACCATTGTTCGTGTTATTCAGAAATTCGCACACAAATGGGGAGAGAAAAAAAAATAATAAACACAACACTTCACAAAACTTTTAGAGATGAAGCACAAATATAATCGCAGTGTATAATAATGTATCGCACAGTAAATAATCGTATGGTAAATTCTCTATGAGGTATACGTATAGCACCGTATTCAATCGCACTCGTGATACAACTGTTGCCGGGTAGTGCGCCGTCCGCGTATTTATAACCGAGAGAATGTTCTAGAAAATCCACGGCGTAGTACCCACCCTATTTCACCGTTACAACGTATTTACAACGTTCTAGAACATTCGCGCGTTTCTCGATTGTTCGTTATAAATATTTGATGTGAATATTTTATTTGTCTTGGAAGTTACCGTTTTCATATTTTTCAAATTGAACAATAGTAATCATTGTTTGTTTTTAAAATTGTTTCAACAGTGCAAAATTAAAGAATAAAACATTAAGTTTCATTTATTTTACAATTAAAATAATTTTGAAATTTTTTCCTGAATTGTTTTTGTAATAAATTTCCATTTATTTTCATAACTTTTTGCAAATTTTAAATATTCAACAACCATTAATATTGATAGATTTTATTTTTCTACGTAATTCAGTTGTACAATATTTTTCAGTTAGTTGTAGTATTTAAAAATGTTTTTTACATATTGTAACCATGTAGGTACCAGGACTATTCGAAAATAAGTACCCCAAATCACTAAAAACATAACACACATCGAGATTAAAATACTGTATCCAATTTAATTTTGGAAAATACAAATATTTTTTGAAGCTAATTACTAAAATATGTATGTACCTTGTTTACCAAAGTCTTCAAATATTATCAAAAAATAGATAAATCCTTTATCTTTTTGCGATATTTTGAGACTTCTCATGAAATTAAAAAAAAAAAGGATAATCTAGAGGATTATGAAAATGTATTTATTTATTTATCTATTTTATGGTACACATTTGGTATGTGAGTACATAGGTTATCATCATAGGCGTGCGCAGACCTCTTTTTCAAGCTATGCAAAAGGCTGCCACTGCCTAACCCCCCCACCACCTAAAACTGAAAGTTAAATTAAGCGTTCGAATTTCCAGTCTTAATAACTATTTAATTTAAAATTTTAATTTTTTTTCCTGAAAAAAGTGACTGAATAGTCATTTCTTAATCGTTATAACTGTCTTCATAATTAAAATTTAAAATAAATTACGACAAAAAAAAATATTAAATACATAACATTTGAAATGGTTTGAGTAATAAGTATAGAGTAAATAAATCAAAACGTAATTGTATAGGTACTTAAATGAAAAACAAAATAAATTTGATGAATAAGCAAAATTAATCATAAAACGATTCTACGTACAGTTGAGTTCTTAATATCACCAATAATGTTTTCGGGATTTTAATTTATATCCATTTCTTGTTCTGTAGTTGATAGCTATTTAATCTCGCTTGAATTATTGTACTTCTTAATTTCATTAACAAATTAAATCGTTATTATAGTATATGATTTGTGTTTCAAAAATGAATTAAACTGTCTGGGACTGAATATAAAAATATAATAAAAATCATAATGTAATACGAAATCACATAATATATACATAAGACCAAATATGTCATAATTTTTATTTAATTTTTGTAATTTTGGATAGAAGGCTCTATGTTTAGGCCCTAAACTTTAGGGTATGCAGTTGCATACCCTGCATACCACCTGCGCACGCCTATGGTTCTCGTAATAAATATAATGCAATTAAAATTAATTAATGGTTAGATTAAATTATATATAATAAAAATTAGGTTTTATTTTTCATTATTATGAATAATGTCCTTCACTGATGTCTTTACTTTCTAATGTCTAATAAAAGTTGACAGATACTATCAATAAGAAACATTTTATTTTTCAACTGAACTAACCCCAAAAAAAAACTAAACCCGGTTGTAACTCGTAAACTTAAACCTGAGAAAAATTAACCCATTTTAGACTACTCAAACCATTATAGTAATTTTGGTTGTTTCATATAATTTGTTGGTTTTTATTTTTATTGATTGTGTTTATCGAAATGTGTATATAATGTTTTGTTGTATTTATTTTTTATTTTTCGTGTTCCGATGTTATATCATTGTTTTAAATTAAATTAATTACATGCATATATATATATAAGTATATTAAACAATTTCAACCCCTTATCTGTGCAGAGGCGCAAGCACAAATGGCTTGTTGTATGCTGGTATTATTGGGAGAAGTCAGAAAGTAATAAAGCACATTTTTTTTAAAGGCCTCCAATTGGTATTTACATCCCGGCATCCTGAGAATTAGATCTGGCACTAACTATAGTAGGTAACAATTATCAGTTAATCAATATCAATTCGATTCCCAAGATCCGCATAAGCTTTAAATACTAATGTTCCTAGTTAGTCAGGGGCGCCGAAATATAAAAATATATGTAGGGCAAATCATAATTGACAACCCATCCACCCACCCACCTTACCTAAATACCTATTTAAGTTAATTATCTTAATTTCATTCAATAAAGCAGTTATAATATAGATATATCCTTAATAAGTTCATAAAACTGTGTTATACGTATAACAAGCAAAAATCCATAATTATGGTACCCATTTAAGAATCATACAAATAAACTATTACTAATAAGAAATATATAGTACTTACATGAAATCTATAGAGGTATAAAGGTATTTATAAAAAATTCGTGTATTTTTATGTTCCTCAATTTACAGTTTTGATTAGTACTATTTTAGATAAACATAGATATTATGTTTAAATTCAATATAAAATATGAATATAATTATTGATCATTAGTAATAATGGTAATTAAATACAAATATATAAACTCTAATTCATTGCTTACATTTTTAAAATTTATGACTTTAAATAATAATAACATATTGTCATAACAGATCAATTTTTAATTTTTATTTAGTGTATTACATATAATAATTATACTTTACATAGGTACCTAATATATTTCTTATATATCTTTCTTACAGTTAACATCTATCAGGCATCAGCTACTGCCCACCCGGCACCCACCCACCCACCTACCCACCCATTTCAATATGTAGGGCAGTCGCCCTACATCAATATAGGTCTCGGCGTCCCTGTAGTTGGTTCACAATATTCAGGTGTTTTTACAAGCGTATTTTATTCCAATGGACTTAATACTCGGAGTTATTAAATATTTGTATGCGCTTGAACAAAAATGTATAGACATTGTATTAGACTAATATATTAATATACTGTTGAGATCTTTATTAAAATTATTCCTCTCTGGTATTCAAAGAATGCTTCTCTATGTAGGTAGTTTTCATATTAAAAAAATCTCTTATTCATCATTACTAGTTGTGCTTAATTGTACAGTTGTACAATACATTGTTCAATGAAAAAATAAAAAAAAAAATAAAAATAAAGTCATTGTATTGTATAGAAGGAAATGTGTATCGAGAATGTTCTAGAATCGTCCATGTTTTGAACTCCTGGCGTTCTCGAATTTTCTACGTCCAATAAAAGCGCTGCGTTTGCTAACAGTCGCTTCAGTATCATCGCATCAGCTGAGTGTTTACGTCGTTGTATATCACGTCCGTTAATATTTCGACTGATCATTTTCTGCATTTATCTCTGCGAGTTGTGTTGTACGATTTTCCTATTTTCTTGTAATATCCATTGACTATAATTCAAGGTAAGCTTTAAGACTCCGTTAGTAATTTAAATTAACTTATTTTCTATGGAAGTTTATGGAATTTTGATTTATTTATGTTTATACTTATATTTATTTATGAAATTGATAGTATGATTGTATGATTTTATTTTCTTACTCTCGCATATCTGTTATCTCTCGGTATGTCAAATATACTTAATGTTTTCTTTCAAAATGTATACATTTCATTTAATGTCTCACCTAAAAGGGATAATATATATATTTATTACTTTGTTTTAGATGTCTATATTGCCGTTTTTATTGGATGAATTGGCTCGGCCAACCATGTATGATCAACATTTTGGTCTTGGTTTACTAGATGACGATTTACTCCTAGCACCACGTCAATATGGTCCAACTCATTGTCCATTTTTGTTGAAGTCTTACCTAAGACCACATCGCTTAAATTCTGCTGCAGAGAGTGGATTATCTTGTATCCAAAATGACAAAAACAACTTCAAGGTGAACTTGGATGTTCAACAGTTCAAGCCTGAAGAAGTCTCTGTAAAAGTTGCTGATGGCTATGTAGTGGTTGAAGGAAAACATGAGGAACGTAGTGATGAACACGGTTACATTTCACGTCAGTTTACCAGGCGATACAAGGTACCAGATAACGTTGATACAAATTCTATTAAGTCTACATTATCCTCAGATGGTGTGTTGAGTATTGGAGCTCCGAAAAAGGTACTTATATATTGTTATTGATATTTTTTAATTTATCTTAACAAAAGATATTATAATGATACTTATATTTTTATGAATGTAGGTACCTGAAAAAAGTGCTGGAGAAAGACCGATTCAAATTGTTCAAACTAACCAACCAAGTATCAAACAGTCTTCGAACAAGGATAAAGAAAACTGTGAGAGTATGGAAGTCAATCAGTAAATCTTACGCATATTTTTTTTTTTCTTAATATATTTTAATGATTTAAAATTAATTATATTAGTTAATAATTTATAATATTAGATTAATTTTACTGTATTTTCTAGAATCCAATATTTTTTTGGTATTGTAAAAATACATACTACAATAGGATTATATTTCCTCTATTATAAGCTAATAATTTATTCTCAAATAAGTAATAATTGTGTTCCTTTTATGAAAACATTGTAATACTTTTAAACTAATAAAGTTTACATTTATATTGATTACAATTTGTGAGTTTTTATTTGTAAATTAAAGCTTTTTGGTTAAAGATTATTTTGAAAATTAAGTAGCTTAAAGTGTTCCATTCATACTAAATAAACAAATATAAATTTTTTTTATTGAATTCTTTAATTATCAGCAAGAGTTAATTAGAATTCTGTACTAATTTGTGTAAATTATCAATTAAATGATTGGTAATCATAACATTATAGAATATATTCACTTATGTTGATAATGAATTGATGTACTCATGGTAACCAATAATTTTTAATTATTTATACTTAATGATTACATTTCATAATCTAAGTTGAGTGTGAATAATTTCAAGAAATAGATTTAATAAGTGATAAAATCTTTGAAATTATTTTTCATTTTTGAAAGATTAAATATACCAATTTAAAAATTTGTAATATGCTCTTTTTTGGTAAAACTAAAGCCAATTTATAATTAGTATTTAGGACTACTGCAACAAAAACTTAATTGCTTATTCTTGGAAAAAGATTTTATGAGTAATAACACCTATAATATTAAAATTCCACTCCGTAGACATTTTGTACATAAATATTATTCTTAAAAACTATTTTATTTTATAAATTTATTGGAATTGCTTTGGATAAGCAAGAAATTTTTTAAATAAACAAAAATATGTTTAATTTTTTGATTCTTTTTCCAGTATGTATGAACTCAAAACTATATTCAATTATTTTTGTTATTAACATCAATTGAATTTACCAATGCCATAACATACTGACAGAAAACATATTGACTACTGGTGCCACTAGTTACTAGATATATAAGTACCTAGGTGTTGTGTCACATCATACATAATTTTGTTGTTATACGTTTGCTACGCCACATATCACGTTACTTGGTGGGTCTAAGACTAGAGATCTAGGTCTAAGATCTAAGATAAACCTTGTTTATATTTGCTTTCAGTATTTTTCTAATTACTTTTCATAGAATCTTCAACTAAATATTAATATTAAATTTTAACACATTGAAAATTTCAGCGATATTTCAAAAAAAAAAAAAAAGAAAGAAGATTACAAAGTTTAAATATATTCAGCAATAAAAATTCTGATATGGTCAAGTTTTATGTGGAAATATAAATACCCATTAATAATGGGTATTATAATAACACTAGTTCACCCGACAAACGTTGTTTTGTCATATAAATCATTTCTAGAGAATATTTTGCTAGAAAAAAATAACTAATTTAATATAAGTGTGTAAGGATGTGGTATATAAGTAGAAGAGGTATGGAGTGCTGTGAACGGTGACGGAATATAAAAATGAAAACACATCAAACATTTATTTTTTAATAATTTATTCAAATTGTTCCTTTATAATTATATACTCGTATATCCCTAATTATGACAATATTAGTAAAAAACAATATCAATCCCTTAATGTAACCGAGTGTACAATATTTTTTGCTATCACATCTTTCGCCAAAACAAACTGGATGGTTCGAGAGCACGCCACGTATAATTGTCCGTGTGAAAAACATGATGTGCTCAAATCTAAGCCACAGACAGACATCGTTAAGCCTTAAGACTTATTGATAGTCATTGCAAATGCCAATCTAATTGGAAATTGAAGGCATTTAAATTGTATTGGCACATCTGTGGGTATAATAGGGATTCGCGGTAATAATATATTTTCACAGAATTTGACATTTAAAACGATGGCTTCGATAACATTTTTCATTAATTTTTTAATGACTAATCGCGTGCCGTTACACAACCGTGGTGGGTTCAAATTACGAAGCAAAATAACCAGAGATCCAACCTTCAGTTGTAAATTATGCGGTGGCTTGCCTGGTAAATCCAATGAGTTTAAAAACTATATTGGACAATTTACAGCTTCAATAGCATCATAAACTGTATCAATAGATTTGAATGACACCAAGTCTCCTGGTAACAAATGTTGTATCTTGAGATTCAATTCGTTAATGTCCATATTTTTTGCTGCTAAAATTACTCTTTCTGCCAGCCACTCATGATTTGAGTATTGTCTGTGTATATTGGGAAATATCTGGTCAATGAGAGCATCTTGTAAATAAATGATTGTGCAGAAATCGGTCGGTAATTTTATACATCCCGTTTCATCTGTAGTAACTTTCCCATCGCCGATATCTAACAATTGTTTTGAGAATCTTTCGCACGCAGCTTTTTTTGATTGAATCGCAAGTATCGTAATTGTTTGCTCTCTATCTTTACATACATGTCGACCATGAATTATTGACAAAGCTTAACGTAGAATAACGTCTTTATCGCATCTAATCATCAACCGATATGCATAATAATACTTCTAATTAACATTCTTGTTTGTTTTAGCACTTGTTGCGGGATCTTGTCGTTTAATATTTATGCAATACTTGTCATTTAATACCAAAAATAAAATTAATAGCATTTAAATAGTTTTTAATAGTATCATTTATTAATTAATTTTCAATTGCGCAGTTACCGACCGAGTCAAAAATTATTAAATTAAACTACGAAACAATAGCACTTATTAATGAATTATTATATATAATAATAAATATTTCCTACTGTTCATCGACTTTTAAAAATATTGATTACTTTACCAGTAACCACTGCAAGCAGTGAAAGATCTTTTTCGTCTTTACGGCACTTAAAAACATATTTGAGGAACACATCTGGTGAAAATCGGTTGAACGGCTTAGCAGTTATGAATATTCATCGGGATTTACTCGTGACCACCGACAAAACAATAGATACTCTAGCTTTAAAAAGTAGATGCATTAAGTTAATTTAATTTAATTTTTTTTTTGTATTAATTATAATATATATGTGAAAAATTTAAATATACGTAAAATAATCAATTTCGTGTGTATAATTTTGTCAATTAATTTTGAATAACATCCCCTTCCCCCCCTTAGAAATTTCTAACTACAAGCCTGGCTGATATCATGGCGACTATAATATAATTTATTAGGTGAAGAAGACGCCACACCACCAAAAAACACATACGAACACGTGTTTATGCGTTTCAATATTACGGCTTATTGAGTGGTTTTAGAGAAAAAAAACTTAGTTAATATGTCGTCCGCCCAATAGTTATTTTTATATTTGATTGCTGTCTTATTATCTTACCCGATTCCCGATACACCGATAAATATCGATATTATTTATGGTGATTATCACTTTTCGACCATATATTCATGCGCATGTAAGAATTAGATATAAATATCTAAAAGAAACGATAGAAAATTCTTGCATTATCTATTATTTTCCTATCTTTTTATTCTATTTACACTTTAGGCTAGCAGGACTTTTTGCTTCCAGGCTACCGGGATTTTTCCCGGTATCCCGGTTGGCCACTCCGCCCCTGCGTGTCACTATATCGTCACAATAAAATGTTTTGTGTCGAAACAACAGTAAATAAATAATACAGTAAAATACGTAATGAATTATGTAATTTGCACGGCCCCGGGACCATAGACCTTACTGATCTATCCTTTTGTGCAGGGCCTGTCTATACGATCAATGGTTTGCCCCTAAGTTTTGTTAATGATCATGCAAAAAAACAATTTTCAAATTAAAAATTCTCTTCGTCTAAATGAGAATGGAACTGTGGTGATAATTATCATTATCAACTGTGGTTCTAATGGCTATGTTTACTACTATTTTTTATACCGATAACTACAACTACCAGAGAGTGTTAATTTTCTACATTACGTCGTCTCGAGACATAAATCTTAAAAAGACTATCCTTCGCAATAAATACACTAAATCATTGGCATAATTAGGTGTAATTTTGGCGGGACGTAGCCTCCCAAATATTTATTTATCCTTCACATAATAATTACAGATAAAAAAAGTAAGAGTTATTTACCAAAATGTTACCAAAAAAAAATCCCAAATATAAAACCCTAGTTGTTGCCCATAGAAATATAATACACATAAAATCGTATATATTATACGTCTATGGTTGTGCCTATATATTAGAAGAATTTTTAAACTTTTCTTCAAATTTATAAATGGTGATTTAAAAATAATTATTCTATTGAATTACAAGTCCTATTAAATTATTAATTCAATGATCAAATCCACTGGACTCCAAGATATAATTTTTTTTTAGGTTATGTCGTAACTCTTATCAGCATAAAATATATTTTATCAAAAAGCCGTTTGAATTTTAAAGTTGAAATTAATAAGTTAATAATTTTTAAATCCCTGCTTCTAGTATTTTATGATCTTTTTTTTTGTTATAATTATCCATTTAAAATAAAATTCGTAAAATGTTGCTATTCATAATTTATTTTAACATTGACTAATAATGGATTATAGTGTATGTGAAATAAGCAATACTGTAATGATAGATTCATTGGATGCTATAATTCAAGAAGAAAACTGGAAACTTGAGATGGATAAAAACACTGGTCTGCTATCAAAGAAATCAAAAACACCAAAGGTCAATTTTTATATTTCCTTATAATTTTTATTAATTATTATTTATCCAAAATCTGTATTTGTAAATATGTTTACTAATTGACAGCTTTAAAAGTTTATTAAAACATTTAAAATTAACTGTTTAATATGCATTTAATATATTTTAATAAAATCCTATGCATAATTATTAGTTAACAAGTATTCAGTAGGTATTGATGAAACTATTGTAATCAATCTTATGTTAGCCAGTTGTCTTCAGGATTTCTTGCTGGTGCAACTTGACTTTTGATCTTGAAACCAGTTGAAATTCATAGGTAAATTATTTAAAAAAACATTTATTATAGTTTGATCAATTTAATAATAATTCAATTGATACTATTAATAATAATAACTACTTAATAGTAAATGTGATGTTAAAATTATTATTCTACTCAGAATACGAAATCGAATTATTATCATACATTCTTTTCTAACTGTCCAACTATCATATAGTTTATTTATCTAAATTTTTAGAAACTGAAAAACTTATTTATTAGACAAATGGGTATTGGAAGTTAGAATACAATAATTAATAAAAAAATTTAAAATTAGTATTTCATTCAAATTTTTTTATGTGATAAATTTATATAAATGTAATGTTAATCATTTAATATTACATATATTTATAAAAATATTTTATGATTTCTAGGTTCAACAATCATTTAAAGAAAATGAAAACAAATTTAAACAAAATATACCTCATAGACATCTTAGAAGTTATTCACCTAAACGAAGTCATTCATGTGATCGTGTAGAAGAAATTGAAAGGTTGGCAAACTTATTTACTCAGTCACCTAGCTTTTTTTCAACAAACAATAATAACAATAGTATTCATGTCGAGTATAATCAAAGAACATCTAAAGAAAATTTGCCTATACAAAGGCACAATGTAAGTCCTTGATTCTATCATTAATATTACAGTATATAATAAATTATTTTTAGGTATTGCTTTTTAATAGCTTGGTAATATAACACATATAAATATGTTGTACTAAGTCTATATCAAATAGTTGTAATAATTGTAACATTAATCGGTTTCAGGAATTTGATGACTATAAGGATTTGGTCAATTACAAAAATAACAACAATTCAATTGTTCCAGATATCAAGGTAATTTTAATATATTAATATATTACATTTTTATTAAAATTTTAATTAAATAGTCGGAATTAGAATATTTTTTGGGATGATACTCATTCAATTTTGCCTTATAAATGTTTTATATGGTGTTCAATCAATTTTTTTTATTTTTTTAGGTGAAAAGAAATGTACGATTTGGAGAATTTTCACCTCTTAATCCAGCCAATCAAGTAAATGCTCAGCCCTTTTTAGGAATTGGAGAATATGATAATAAAAAAAAGAAAATGTTAGAATTACAAAGGAAGGAATACATGGAATATGTATCTAAAGTAAATAGACTAAAAATGTTGAATGCCATTTTTAATAAATAAGTATTTAATTATTTAATTGTTATTTATTATTATTAATTGTTATAACTATTAAATAAAATACTGAAGTGACATAGGATCAGACTTGGTAGTCCTAAACAAAATTATTAATATCATTACATTTTTAATAATTTAAATTTTAAATATAATAGTAATAAATATTTGCCAAGTTGTAAAATATTCTTATAGCATTAATTACTGTTGATGCAATAAGTTTTCAAAATATTTTGAAATATGTTCTCAATAATTCCTATAGGAATAAAGTAATTTTATCAAATATATGTATTATCTTAATCTTTGGAGTTTAATTTAAGTTCCTTTTATTTATCATTTTTTACATTTAGTAATTGATCATCAATGATAATTTATTAATACCTAAAGATAAATGCATTATAATTTGAATTTAATCTTTTTTTTCATTCTAACATTTTCTATAATTCTAAAAAACTAAACTAAACTAAAAATTGTTAAAGACATTTTAATAATAAATACATCATTATAATAAGGAAATAGTATTATTTATGATTATTAAAGTTTAAGTTGTAATTTTAAAAGAAAAATTCCATATTAATTTCAATATATTTTATTACAAAAATGTACTTATCCAAAAATTGCTTATTATTTCCATTTTTACTAAATAATTGAATTTTTTTAGGTAAAACAAGATAAGAACACTTCAGATTTACCGAAATTAGCAGATTATTCTTGCGAAGAAGCATTTAAAACAGCAATGGTAAATTTAACTGTTTAATATTGAAATGAAAAAAATAAATATGAAACTCAAATTCAATAAATTATAATAATGTGTTAGGTAATGCTTAAAGTGTATATAAGTATAAATTTGATTATTAAGAAATATTTATGCTTTGTGAAATAAATTAAACTTTTTTTTTATATTTTTAATTATAGGAATGTTTTTATATAGAAGAATAAAAATGATAATTAAGATTTTAAAAAATATATTCAATAAATTTCTTGATACATTTTCTCTTCTATATAATTAATTTTAATTTTTTAAAAGCATTAAATCTTAATTATTTAAAAAAAAGTTACCATTACACAAATCATAAAAATATTTAAGTCTATATAAACCAGCATTAACGAATAAAGGGATAAGTTATTAACCTTATAATTAAATTGCTTCATTCAATTATTGTTAAATTACTATTAAAACTAAATTTGACTATTTGAATTATGATAAACTAAATTATTAAATTACTCAATTTGTAGAGAATTCTATGAGATAAATGATGGTGACATTAGTATATTGTTAATTAACATGTATTAATTAATGTAATTAATTAAAATTTGATTAATTAATAACTCCATGGGTGTAGCTAGGATTTGAATCGGGGGAAGAGGGGCAAAAACATAAAGTGATTAGCGTTAAACTCGTAATTTAAATAATCTACAGATAGATCATTGGATAACACATAAAACGTCAAAACTATTACACGTATGGATAATACTAGCATTCGGTCCCACTAAACTATTTTTAGACTTATATTTTATTTAATTTTTGATTTTAATGTAAAACTTACACGTTTGTTATAAACAAATAGAATTCAGTTTGAGGCGTAGGGGGCAAGTGCCTTTCCTGCCCTACCCTCATTACGCCCAGTTTTAACTCAGTTTTATATGGTCAACTAATAAAAATTATAAAATAATAAAAAAAATTAGAGTTAATTATTTTTAAATTATCAAATTTCATATCATAAATTAAAATTATTTGTGTTTAAAATAATGTAACTTTTATCCAGTTTTTGCTTATCATTGTATCATCATTATTTTGTCTCAATAAGATAAACATTTTATTTTGAACTTATTATTTATTAGAGTAACATAGTTCTTTTGTCAGTTCAATATTTCGCATTGAACAACAGAGTTTTGAAAATTATCAATTTAAATTTCAAACAGTGACGTACACTAACTCTTAATACGCTGATATAATTTTCATTTTGGGTAAATATTAATTCATCTAATTTATTTATTGGTCAAACTAATTTTTTGCATTTAAAATTAATCTTTTTGTATATGATACATATTGTTCGGCTGCAAACCATGGCTTTAGTTAAGTAAAAAAAATGTCAATACAAAAATGGAATGATAAATTTTTTTATTGGTATATTAGCTGACCCAACAGATGTTATCCTGTCTTAATTATAAATATTAATTTCGATTTAGTATATTTAACAGAAAAAAATATTTCAAGAAAAGTGTTTATTATTCTATTGCTTTATGATAATTCTTATTTTTTTTCTTGCGCGTATATAAATAGTTTTGTTGGTATTCCAATACGAGAACAGGTGACATATAACTGGCCGTGTGAAAAACATGGATTTTAAAGATTGATGCCACAAACACTTAGCGACTGCTCTTGAGATTTATTTATCGACATTGCAAATGCTAGGAAACGCACTGGAAATTGCAATCGTTTAAAGTTGACTGGTATGTCGTTCGGAATCAGGCCCGTATTGGCTGCTCTCATGGGGCGATTACGAAAATATTTAAGGGCGTCTCAACTTTTGTTATTTAATCCTTCGAGTTACCTATGGCCCAATAGATAACAGATTAAAGAATCATAGTTTAGGTTTAACGCTTGTCTTCACAAAAATATAAACGTTTTTCAATGACGTATTACTGAAGACTATCGGGTTATTATTTGTTAGGTAATGAGAAACAATGGATATTTCTCCAAAATCTTAATGTAGCCATAATTTTTATGGGCGCATCTGCCCGGTTGCCCGGTGGTCCAGTACGGGCCTGTTCGGAATCAAAGGAATCCGTGGAATCAAAACGTCTTTGCCTTTGTACTTCCCTTTCAAAATTATGGCTTCTATGGCGTTATTAATTAATTTCTTCACCGCAAGTCAGGTGGCATTACAAAGATGTGATTGGTTCATATTTCGCAACATTTTTATTACCGATCCGATTTTTAATTGCAAATTATGAGGTGGTAATCTAGGCAATTCTTGCGAATTTAAGAACTTCGTTAGATAGTCGACAATCATCTTGGTTATTAACGGAATCAATCGATTTCTATGTCATTAATTCAAGAGCTATCTTATTTTGGATTTGAAAATTAATTTTGTTGACATCAACGTTTTTTACAGCTAATATAGCATTCACTCAACTATACATGATCCTTATAATTTTGATCAATGTTTGGGAAAACCTTCTCGATGAGTTCGGTCTTAGTTTCAGTATAGTGACAAAAATTGTTAGAAAATATGATATATCCAGACGATGAGTCAACAGGTATTTTGCCATTACTAATATCGAGCATTTGTTTGGAAAAAAAAATAAGGTCGTTCTGCAATTCGACTCGCATTTTCATATTTAATTTGAGCGTTTTAACGTCTTTCCATAAAATTGATGAGTTTAAACATGTGTTAATTTCTTCGCCTGGCGTTGGTCGTGGTATTACTGGTAGTTTAAATCACATGCCAATAAAATCATTGCACCACCAAATTGATTTTGGTTCTTTCGTAAATCTTGCAACGTGCAGTCTAATGCTTCCGAAGATTTTTTTGTGCACTCTTCCTAAACTATTAATTTGCTCTACTGAAACACTTAGTCCATCCAAACTTACCAAAACTTCATATTAAATTGAACTTTAAATATTAGTCGTGATGGCTCTGAACTAAGTTATGGAAGTTTAAAGTTGCAGTGATTACGCGTGTATGGCGATTCAAAGTTGTCGATATTATAAAATATGCTAAATAACTAACTTTCATATTGAATCACATGATAAATTTGCAAGAAATTTTTTACAAATATTGATTTTTAGATTTAAGATATTGTTCTAAAGATAGTTAGATAAAACCCAGGTTTTGAAGATGGAAAAAAGTGTAAGAAAAAACTCAATTTGGCTGCTCCAGGAAGTATGCATTAACTAGTTTCCTCAAACAATTCAGTAACACCCAATTTATTGACTACAATTTTAAATAATAATGTAAATTACATTTTTAAATATTTACATGTATTCAATAATGCACTAGGCAAAAATTTTAATTTTTTTGTATATTGATATTTCTTTGGTATAATAAAAACATTTGATCATTTATTAAATCATTTATACTTATATATGCATTTTTTTTAATTTTTTTTTTTATTGTTTTTGAAATTGTAAGACCTTTTGTTTTAACAATCAAATTCATTATTATTTTATATAAATAATTTAGAAGCATTCTTATGTTTTTTGTATTTTAAAATGAACATAAATTATACAGAATTAAAAGTATATGAGCAAATTTACTTAAAAATGTAATTTTACTCTTTTAACTCTTCTCTAAATATTTTTATAGTTGAAAAAACTATTAGCATAATTTTATTTTAATATTGAATTGTACTAATATACATTTTTAAGCTTCACTTAATATGTTATTGTGGTTCATTGTTTTGAATTTATTATTTCTTTAAGATAGGAAAAAACTATTAAGTATATTTACTAAGAAAATAGGGCTGTGATTCTAATATATGACAAAAAAATGTGGCAATCAAAAAAGTTATTTAATTATTTTTACTTTATATTTTTAAGTAATATAATTTTTTTAGGAAGATAATAGTATATCAGATCAAACTAAATCAGATATCAAATCTAGTGAGTATTTATATTTCAGAATTATTAATTATTAGTTAGAATATTATACATTACATACATTTATTTTATGAAGTACGATACCAGGAAAATATAAAACAGCCATTTGTAGATGGAGCTGAATCATGTACATGTGAGTACTTGTATTTATTAATTATTCTAATATAATGATTTATCTTTTGTTCTTAAATGTAAGAAATTCCTTATTATTATATTGTAGCTGATGAAGATCATGCTAAAGAAACTAATCGATTAAAGCAAGAAATCTACAGACTTGAATTAAGTAAACAGATAGAAGAGAAAAAAAGGTTGGAATTAGAACGAAAGCGTCAAGAGCAAATGGAAGATGAAGCTATTGAAAGAATGGCAAGGGAACAGGAAGAAAGAATAAGGAAAGAATATGAACAAGAAATGGAGAAACGAACTTTGGCTCAACTTCAGGTGTTAATTATATCTTATATAATAATTTTTTTATAAAAGGCTAGTTTTAATTCATAATATTTATGTTTAATGATTAACTTGTAGAAACAATTGCAACAAGAAAAGTTACAAAATGAAATTAAACTAAAGCAAAAAGAATTAGAATTAAAAGCAAGGAATGCAGATAAAATTGAAACAACATCTCAACCAGTATCCATGCATACACCTAGTTACCATGAATCATTTGAAGATCCTGATGAAGAGGAGTTTCATTGTCCCCCCGAGAGCACATTTGACAATGTACCTTTGCCAACTTCTCGTATTCGAGTTCCAAGAAAAGTATTTTAATGTTTTTCATTTCATACATTTTTTTATTACAATAAATGATGGTTTCAGATAGTGTATGATGATGAACCTGTCAACAAAAATACTAGAAACGTATCCTGCAACACGGATGTAAATAGAAATTCGCATTTGAATCAAAGCATTTCTCCTCCAGCTTTAAGTAAAAAAATAGAAAAATCTCATGTGACTTTTGCACAGGACAACCCTTCCAAAAGAAATGAATTCAATCATATGGTTTTAGTGCCCGATAAAAAGGCTGTGATTATTGATTCACCATATACTCTTGCATTAGCTGGGCTTAATAATTGCGAAGACAATGATGGGACTTGTGAAGCTATTGAACCAACTGAAGCAGTTTATAGAAATCAGGTACATAACTAAATTACTGCTAATTAATAATGAAATTATTAAGTATATTCAATGGGTAATTGGTAATAAAATTTTCTTGTTGTTGAATTAATTGAAACCTAATTAAAAATTAACTGTAATTCAGTTACAAGGTTCACATTATTGTAAAATAATTAATATTTTCTTTAATTCCATTAAAATGTAGTAATTACTAGGGGTGCGCAATTTTTTTTTTTTTTTTTTTTAATAATTGTTATTAAAATACTCTATAATAATCGATTAATCAATTATTATTGATTTATTTCATAACTGTTAATCGACCATATCAATATCATAAATTCGATTAATTAGTATTTGCAGTTTGCACTGTTGACTTTTTTCTATATTGTGTGTCCGTCATATATTATTCTCAAACTTAAACAATAATGGGTAAAAAAAAGAAGGGGTAGAAAAATGGGAATATGCAAAACGTAAAGGAAATAAAGCATTTTGTGAGTTATGTGACGAAGATAAAAATAATGAATACTCTTATGTTGATTGAACAGGGTCCATAGTTTTTAATAATAAGTTTTTGTTTTTAGTTTAATTGAAAATTGTTGTTATAAATTTATCAAGTTTTCACATTAAATTTGCAATATATTTTGTGTACCTTTAATGACTTATTATTAAGTAAATTTTACAACACTAAAATTCAAGATTGGGTGTAGAGGGATTTTTCAATTACATGGTTTTAGATTAACGAATGTTAATTTCACGTGAATACGCGAATCCGTATATACGTGAAATAGGGAGATCTAGGCTGAATGACCCATTCCCATACAAATCAAGATTAAACCAATACTTATATTTAAATAAAATAACACGCCAAATAAAACTCTTAAATATATATACATTTTGTACATTACTAAATAATACAATTGATTTTATAGTATAACATTTTTTTTTTTACATTATTTTATTTATTCATAAATAACTTTCCATTGAGAATGCGAAAAAATCGATTTGGTTTTATTTAAAATCACTGTAAAAAATATTACCGTCCTCTTAAATATTTCAAGGGGGCTATTACCCTGATGCACCACAGGGCATTGGTAATGAGGCAAAGGCAAATAGATTGAAAGGATTGAAATATTTGAATGTTAGATTTTCTAGCTGTTCCCCATAATTGTATTAAGTCAATGTAGGGCGGTTAATTTGTTTAAATATTAGGAGGTTGGTATTAAGTGAGAAATTTGATTTGAGAAGGTGTCTAATTTTGTGAAGTTTTATGTTGAGGGATACTCTTTATTTTTATATGATTGGCCCATGTGAGTTTGTTGTCAAGGTGGACTCCGAAGTAATGTGTGGTTTTTGTTTGAGGAATCATGTCATTATTGAGAATCATGGGAGGGGCAGATACCAGGACGTAGGGAAAACGTTGTGTATTGATTTCAATTCTCCACAAATCAAACCAGTTTTGAAGTTCAGTAAGGTGTGTTTGCAGTACAGTAGAGACTATGGTTAGGGCAGCGTTGGTGGAGATTATGCGTGTATCATCAGCGAATTGTGCAAGAGTGGTGTGGATAGATTGTGGAATGTCGAATGTTATATATTGTAAGAAGAGGGAGCTAATATACTTTCCTGAGGTACAGCTGTTTTTATGCAGTGAGTTAGTGAGAGTTCGTCCTCACAACGAATAGCAAAGGACCGATTTAATAAGAAAGATTTTATTATTAAAAATAAGAGGGCTGGAAGTAAACAAATTTTATAAAGGAAGCCTTCGTGCCAATGCGGTTAAACGCCTGGACAACATCGAGGAATACACTTGAGGAATATTGTTTATTTTCAAGTGATTCTAATATAATTTCGATTATTCTGTGGATTTGGTGGAGTAACGAGTGTTTATTTTTGAATCCAAATTGAGTGTTGGGGATTATGTTTGGTTAATTAATATAGGATTGATTCGTCTTAATGTTATTTTTTCTAGAATTTTTGAGAGGGAGGGTGAAAGACTGATTGGCAGTGCCGTATTTAGACAATTTACACCCCGGTGCAAAAAAATTTGGTGCCCCTCTAAGGGTCCTCCCCACGGAAAATATTGGAGATAGATACTCATGAACCTTTTAGATATTCTAAAATCAACGCTATTTTTGTGTAGTAGGCATGCCACCGCACGCGATAACATAATACGTCGTGTTATTATAAATAACTTATGTTTATTGACATTATCACAACAAATTTGGGAACTAATATTAGGTATATTAATAATATTCTTGATCGCTGATAGCTATATTGCTATAAATACATTAATAATATATATTAATAAATTAAATAAATTAACATTAATTTATGGTACTGTTTTTTATTTTATTTATTTAACGCCAAACGGCAATTTATAGATACATTGTAATAATTAGTAGATTAACAAGAAATGATAGTAATGAAATGATATACATGGAAAACTAGTTAATAATTATAGACTTAAGTTTAAACTTATACTAAATAATGTGTAGTTATAAAGAGTATATGCTTAAGTAAATAAAACTAAAATTAAAACATTCAGTAGAGATAAATATCAACATAGTCAGCTACAAATCAGGGGCTATTAAGTAGGCGGAGCATCATATTTAATAGATTATTGTGGGAGTAATTAGTGGGGTGAGAGAAGACAAGGTATAGAGAGTGATTTCTAGTGAAATGCACTGGAACGCGGAAAGAGATAGAGAACAGAAGGTCCGGGGCATCTATTGAGTCGTTAAGGAGGGAGGTGATGAAGGAGAAGTCAGTATCTACACGGCGAGAAGCAAGAGTAGGGATATTTAAGGAAGTTCTAACTGATAAGTAATCATAAGATGGGTGATCAATATTGAGTATAAAAGCGGCGTAGGAAAGGAAGCGGTTTTGGACTTGCTCTAAACATAATTGGTTTTTGGCTAGATAAGGGTACCATATAACTGAGCCATATACTAAGGCAGAGTGGACAAGAGAAATTAAGGAGAACGAAGATAATTAGTAGACGTGAAATATAAAAATAATATTGCGCTTTAAGAACCTCAGAATTTTTAATGCTCTACCAACAGTAATATCAAAAAGGTGTTAAAAAGAAAGAGGAGGAGTTAGGTAGAACCTGAGATCTTTGAAAGTGAAAACACGTTCGAGAGTGGAGCTAGCTATTAAGAGAATAAGGGTGGATTATGCAAGTTCGTTTTCTATGAAATGACATAACATGACACTTGTTGAGATTGAATGTTAAGCCAATACGCTGGGCCCAGAGAGAGAAAATATTGAGATCTGATTGAAGTTGAAGACAGTCAGGCGGAGATGTAATTTTTGAATAAATTTTAATATCATCGGAAAATAAAAGAACTCTAGAGGCTGAAATGTATCTGTTAATTGAATTAATGAAAAGGATGAACAGAAGAGAACTGAGATGTCCTCCTTGTGGGACTCCAGAGGGAGTTATAAATAAGTTAGAGACAACGCCGTGGACTTTTACGAATTGCATTCTTTGACTTAAATAAGATTGGAGCCACAAGAGTAAAGGATTACCGATACCAAGTGAATCCAATTCAGATATAAGGCGGCTATGGATGACCGTGTCGAAAGCTTTATTAAAGTCCGTGAACACAGCATCAACTTGACAATCAGATTCAAAGCTTTTTAATATGTATGATGTAAAAGATAGGCTAAAAGTGACAGTAGATTTTCTACTACGGAAACCATGCTGCTCATCCATTAAAATATGGTTAAGACTTATTTTGATTGAAGAGTAGACGATGGATTCAAACAATTTAGAAATGTATGTTAGGATTGAAATAGACCTGTAATTAGAAACAAGTTAGGGATCTCTAGATTTAAAAACGAGGATGACAGAACATGTTTTCCAAGCAGCTGGAAAGATACCTTCATCAAGAGATTGCCTAAAGAGTAGGAATAAAGGATAAACAATAGAATCTTGACAGTTAAAAAGTAAACGTGCTGAAATCCCGTCTGGACCATTAGAATTGGTGTTTTTTAGAGTTGAGTGCAAGATGTACATCGTCGAGGGTGAAGTGGCAATTAGAAGAAAGTCAGTGGCGCAAATAGGAAAAATGTTTAGGGGGGGCTCAAGCCCCAACACATTTTTTTTTAAATTATAATTTATAGGTACATAGTTTTAAGAATGGTATCTGTATTTATTGAATTTTAAAATATGTATTATACATAGTACATTTATGTAAATATATATATAATAATAGGTATATAACATTAAATATCATCAAATAGATATTTAATGTAATTGTATCCGTCTCTCGGTTTTTTCAAAAATAGTTAATATGTCTTCATTATTGATAGGAATGTCTTTTTCTATATTCATAATACTTAAATTGCTGAACCTATCTTGATTCATACAAGTACGCAACCATGTTTTAATACGCCGCATAGTAGAAAATGATCTCTCACAGGTCGCTGTACTTACGGGAAGAGTAATAGCTACTTGAAACATCTTACAAAAATTTGGAAATACTTTACCATCATATAATATCAAATGTTGCTTTATTTCCTCTAAACTAGAGTTTTCACCCAGAATGTTTTTTAAAACAGACATTTCAGACATCAGTGACTGATTACAAATTCCAAATAAATCCTAAACAAATATTAAACATTAGTTAAATGCTTGAAAAATAATAATGTATTTTACATGTACCTTGTAATGATCAATTAAAAATGAAGAACTTTCAAATTTCAATTTTAGTAAATTATCTACTGATGAGGCTACTTGAAGGCTTTCTTCAGAAAATCTTGTTTTTTAAAATATTTATCATTGTATCTAATACACTATAATAAGCTTTTTTTTTTCCAATATTTTTTTTTTGTTTCTACAATATCTGCAGTATGATCATCACTAGCACTAGTTGTTGACAAACAAACAAAATCTTTGAGTTGAGATGGCTCTTTTCGTAATCTTTTCTTTGATACAGCTATAACCAAATAAATAAATAATTATAAATTACAAATTCAGTATTTTTATATTTTTTCTTACATTGCAAAGGAATTTCAAGAGAAATGTCATGTTTAATGCTAAATTCAAGCATTTCATTCCAAAGTGTATTATAATGTTGTTCAGAATCACGATGTTCTTGTAAAGTTGTAATTACTCCAGTTATTAAAGATTTAGAATTACCCAGGGTTGCTGATTTTGATTGTAGATGATTTGATAGTATATGAATAATTTGTAAGACTTCCTTTAATATGAATAAATATATTACAAAATCAACAGACTTAATTGTTGAAATAATACCTAAAACAAAACAATTTAAATTCAATATTTTTCACTGAATAATAAAATAAAATATAGTTGCCATTAAATTATATGAATCTACATAAATCATACCAATTGCTTCAGCGACATCTTTATTTTTTTGAGCATCAATTTCCTCTTTTAAAGACTGAATTAATACACCATAATTTTGTATGACTGAGCTGCAACTTTTAAAACGACAGGCCCATCTTGTTTCACTTAACTGAACTAATGATTTTTTTTTCAACCCAAGTAGATTTTGAATTTCATTGAATTTTTTATTTTTTGAAGGATATGAGAAATGTACGTATATCGCTTCTAGTCCATTAAATAATTTTCTAAGATACTAATTAAACAAAATACGATTTTAATTATTATAAATTATTAATTGGTACTAAGTAATAAAATATTATTCAAAGAAATAATAAATAATTGGATTACCTTCAAATATTTGCATGTGTCCACAATCACTAAATTTAATTTGTGTGCCATACAATGAATGTATATAGCATATGGATAAATTTGCTTAAGTTTAGTTTGGACACCTCCTTTCTGACCAGACATTACATTTGCTCCGTCAAAAGACTGGCCAACAATTGGAATATCAGATAAATTACAAAAACGTAAAAAGTCGATAATAGATGAATATAATGCATCAGCATTTTGTCTATATGATACATCAACAAATCCTAAAAAACGTTCTTTCACCTCTAAATTGTTTGTATAACGGATACAGATGGACATTTGCTCTTCTTTATGAGATCTGTATTCAAACACATTGCTATTTATTATTTTGAACTGTTACAAAATAACTAAGCATCATTCTTAAAAATATTTATTTTTACTTACCTGGATTCATCACATGAAATGGAAAACATGCCACACTTTTTAACTTCAGAAACAATATTATCTCTCACATATGAAGTACAAATATTTATTAAATCATTTTGAATGGCCCAGCTAGTATGGTTAGTTGAGTTGAAAATATATTTTTTCTCAAACTCAATATGATGTTTTGAAAACAACAAGCACAGCTCTTTAAAATTACCTTAAATAAGAAATTAAAATATTATACTTAATTTTTAAAGGAACAGAAATCATTAAAATCACGAAGAATATTATTTATTTATCCTTACCTTTATTTAAAGCATCTTCATTTTCACGATGACCCCTAAATGGAAGTCCCTGCCGCCCAAGAAATATAACAATGTCAATTAAACATTTAATATACTGCCGATTTTTGTCAATGTGCTCCTTGTAGGCTGTTGATAATTTGGAGATGATACTACCTTGTTTTAAAGAATTTTTATATTCTAACCATCTTGACATACAATTAATGTGATTAATTGTTGAAGCGTGCAAACTTAGTTTTGATTTTTTGGTCTTTGAATCTCTTGATCCACAAAGCTATAGACGATAAGATAAAATATTGTGTTAAATATATAGAAATTATTATAATAAAATTATGCCTATAATTTTACATAGTAGGTACATAATTAAGTTTTCATTTTATTTTAGATTCTGGACAAAGTGAAGAATGTATTGATTTTACTATGATGAGTTTTTTTTTTTTTTTGTGCCTGTGTACACTATAACTATTCAAAATAATTCTTCAATTTTGAACCCCATGATGTGTTTTCGGTAGCAAGTCTGATATCGGAGGTACCTTGAAGAGGTGAAAAGTGAAAATTCCCAAAAACATTCAAATGCGGCGAGAAAAACAAAAAAAAAGTTATTTTTTATGTTTTAAATACATAGGTACTTCAACTTTAGACTAATTAGAATCTTAATAAGAATAGTTGTGAAACTTACTTTTTTCCAGTTCTTAAATCCTATTACAGTAAATGTATTTTCCGTTAGATGAGCAGTTCCAAAAATACGGCATGGAAAACAAAACACGCTATCTTTTCTAACACTATATTCAAGCCAATTAAACTCACTAAAGTAAGAAGGTGTAAATCCTCGATTTTGACTTCCAAATTTTGTCTTAGGATACTCCTTTTTAAACATTTTTGAAAATCTTATTTATAATATTAATATACATTTCAATTAAAAATCTACTTACCTTTAATATTGGCTGACGCGGTCCTGAATTTAAATTACCCAAATCAAGTTCATTATCAATATCATTTAATTCATTTTCTTCTGCAATTATACTTTCAGTATTTACTGCAGACGAAGGCGTAGGCGTATGTTCCAGCACATTTAGTTGATCATCATCAGAGCTTTTTTTTTTATTAAAAATACTAAACATTTTATTTTTTTAACGAATTTAAATTTATATATGATTATAACTAATATAAGTAATTCGTTTGAAACAACAATTATTTGTTTAAATTATTGTAATTAATTTGTTTATAAATTTTAAACGTGCTTTTGTGAAATACTGAAAAGTGAAATGGTTAGATTGAAATGTGAAATGGTCAATTTAACTGTCTGTGTGCCGACTGTGCCGGTAATCACTAATAAGTATGAACATGATACATGAACAAACCAGTATAATATTCGTTTGGAGCTATTTAAAAATGTTTTTGGTTTTCCCAATCATTGGCCTACGTGACTAATTTATCAAACATCACAGTCACTATCGTTGTACCGTTCATATTTTATTTAATAATAAGTAATTTTTTTTTTTTTTTTTATTTATTATTTTAAAATGTTTCAGCATTTTAGGTGCTATTACAAGTACGGTACGTTATATTACATTAACAGTTGAAATTTAATATTTTACATTTATGTTAGTGATTACAATGGTATATAGGTGGTATATAGTTATAATGATAATAGTCAATAGTTAAGCTTGACATTATTTGTTGGTTATTCTTCGTCTTCTGATGAGGGCTCTTCGGTGTCTGATATGAGAATGTCTTGAGGTAGTCGGGGTCGCAGTCGCCTATTTTGGGTTTTCTTTCCTAGTTGGTAATGGCGGGCTCCGTCCGAGTCTTTCAGTTTGGTGGGAAAGTTTTTTTAGTTGGGTTTTAATCCAGATATTTATTGGGGATATTCCTGTATCATTGTATATTTGACGATTCCTCATATACCAAGGTGCTTTAAGACAAATTCTAAGGAATTTGTTTTGGAGAGTTTGGATTTTTTTAATTTTAGTGTTTGAGGCTGCTGCCCAGACAGGGCAGGCATACGTTATAAGCGGTCTGATTATTGAGGTATATAGGAGGAGTGATGACTTAAGTTGTAGCGTTGATCTATAGTTGACTAGAGGGTAAAGAATTCTCATCCTTGTGTAGCCCTGTACGAGTTTTTTGTTTATGTGAATGTTCCAAGTAAGTTTTTCATCTAGGTGGACACCTAGGTATTTGACTGCGTCGTCTTTGTTATTTCATTGAATGACATGGTTATTTATGTAAATGTTTTTGGGGTTGGTATATCTTTTAAGGGTGAATATTTTAACCTCACTTTTAGTTGGGTTTAGATTCAACTTCCATTTTTTGAACCAGGTGATTATTTCATTTAATGAGGATTGTAGATTTTGAATTGCTAACTCTAAGGAACTGTCTTGGGTGAGAATTGTCGTGTCGTCCGCAAACATTGCTAATTGAGAGTTGAGAGGGATTGGGATGTCGTAGCAGTAAATATTAAATAGGGTTGGTCCAAGAACAGATCCTTGGGGGACTCCAGCTTTGATTTGGTGTAGTTGTGAGAAGTCTGTTTCCACTCTTACTTTGAAAGATCTGTTGGATATGAAGGATTTGATAGTTTTGAGTAGGTATTCGGGGAATTTTAATATTTTTAATTTTTGTTCAAGCCCACTGTGCCAGACCTTATCAAAGGCTTGGGTTAGGTCTAAGAATGCTGCTGTGGTATATGGTTTTTTTTCGAAACCATGTACAATTATTTCGGATATGCGTTGGATTTGGTGGCATGTGGAGTGTTTGGTTTTAAATCCGAATTGATGTTTCGGGATAACGTGAAGGTAGGGTTTTATCCTATTCAGCAATATTCTTTCGTACAGTTTGGATAATGTTGGTAGTAGACTGATTGGTCTGTAGCTAGTGGGGGAATAAGTAATTTAGTACTAACTATATAATATTATTTAGACATTATTATACAATACATTAAAACTTCTGTAGTTCTGTCTATTAGTATTATTGTTTATTGTAATCCCGATTGTAATATTATTTTATTTTATAAAAGCAATTTTCTTATTAGTGTTAAGAAAAAATGTTTAGTAAAAAAGTAAAAAATTTTTAAAAAAACCGGTAAAAACGACTTATTAAGAACAATAACATTTAATATATATTATATTATTATTTTTTGAGGGGGCTTTGAGTGATTTTGGGGGGGCTAAGCACCCCCAAGCCCCCCCCTATTTGCGCCACTGAAGAAAGTTCATACGGAATAGTATTAATATTAGAAATATTGACGGGAGCAGGAATAGAGTTGTTATGCATAGAATAAAAGTACTTAGAAAATAAGTTAGCCGAACCAAGAGAATCAACCGTATCATTGTTCCAGCATAGAGTGGTGGGCACTGTGATTTTCTGGTTTAAATTTTTTAAATTTGATTGTTAAAGCTAGTTTCACATTTATACGATTCGATTTGGTTTGTTTTCGTTAGCATCGAAAACGAATTAAAACTCTTCACACGCATTCGGTTAGTATAAGGTTTGATTTCACGCTCGAATCACCAAATACGCAGTTACCCATTTTGCCCACAATACTCACTATGGAGAAAAGACAAATTGTTGCCATGTTATTTCTCTGTAGAAGAATCAGAAAACGAAAGAGGAATAATCGACTTCACTGTACCACCCAATCCTCACCAAAAGGGTGGAGTTTGGTGCATTTTATACCCTTTTTTCGAAATTAAGGGAGCACGAAGACAAATTTTCAAATTACTTCAGGATGTCTACATCATTTGATGAATTACATATGCATTTAAAATGAAATAATATTTTCGCTTGCCGAAAACGTGATCGAACCGAAACTAAACCGTTTATGGGTAAATGACCAATTGCTTTTATGCACCTTGGACCCGAATCGAAACCGATTCATGTCGAGGGGGCTCTTTCGGTTCTATCAGTTGTCTATTAGGTACCAAACACACACCGCATCACCGTTTCACATTTGTCCGGCGGCTACAGAAAACGAACCGAATACTCACTGAACCGTATAAGTGTGAAATGAGTCTAAGAGTGAGTAGAATTGGTGTATTATCCGAAGAAAGTTCGATTGAATTTTTTATATTAAGAGTGGTATGGTTTGGTAGTGTCGATTAGCTATAATTAAAAAAAAAAAATTGATAAGATCGATTTATAATCGCACACCCCTAGTAATTACTAGTAAAATTAACCAATTATGTGTACAGGTCGATTCTCAATGGTATTATCGGCATAAATAATGTAAGTAATTAAAAATCATTCATCGATCAATTTTTAGATATTGAGAAGTAAATACTATGAATCTACATTTACTTTTAATGACACATTATCATTAGGATCTAACTGATTTTTATCTACTAAGTCTTACTATTTTCAAATATATGACATTCTTTGTATCTTTGTAGACATCATCTATATGCTATTTTTTTTTAAAATCATTTCATCAATATGACTTATTTCGTAATTTCTTTCACTCAATCATATCATACCATGTAATACATGGACATATGGCATGTATCATAATTTATCAAGTAAAATATGTATTAAGATATGATACTAGTTTACCCATCAATGCTTGACTATTGCTAATTTTGCAATAAACTACAAAAATATCGGTATCGTAGTTCTTAAGTTTATTAGTCCATTTTTGTATATATAAATAAATATGATGTTATATTTTCATTTCTATGGTTTTAATTTAAAAACTCAAGTGAAGATATTAATGTATATTAAAATTTGGGGGAAAATTTGTTGGCATAGTTAGTTAATAGTACACGCATTGATAATCAGATGTTTGTTCTGTATCCTGTATAATTAATTATCTTAGTTTGTCCATAACTAATTTTCAAAATGTATCTTTTATAGAACTACAATGAAAGATTGTTGGAAAATAATCATGAACTTATTGATACACACTTGTTGTCAAACTTGGGAAGTATAAGGAAACAATTAGATATAGAACATCAAAGATTAAAAGAACAAGTAAGAAGATCACAATAACATGGCAATTTTAGATGCCATAAGAGAATATATAGAAATGCTGAAGTCAATAAAATTAGTTTTATTTTACAACAATAGTAGAAAAGTAACCGTATTTTTTATCAATTTTAACATAAACACATTTTTATCCATTAAACATTAATTCTATTTACATTTGCATTTGTTTTCTTATTCTGTTTTATACATTATAAATATAATTAAATATACATAAATGTTCAAAACAAATACACATTTAGTATACTAAAATGCAATAATTAAACAAGTTAGGGAAAAACATAATTAAAGGGCAGTGATTTAATTTTTTTTTTTTTTTTTTTAAGCAAATAAAATGAATCAATTTTTACAATATTTTATTAAACTTTAGGTAAAATATAAAAGACCATTCTTAAAAACCATTACTTTAAAATGATTAGAAATATTAATTCAAATTGGCAAAGAAATATTTCATTCATCAGTCTTAATTCTGTTAATGACTGTTCAGTAGTAATTGTATGTAAAAATACATTAGCTCTGCACAATGATTCATTCAAAATTGAAATTTAGTCATCATCTAAAGTTAAGTCAATACCTGAAAAATATGAATATGAATAATTAAAAAATGAATTTAGAACATCATATTTTCACACAACGTCACTTGCATGTGCACCATTATTAAAATATTAATATTATTATAAAAAACAAATTTTAAAATTTGTATCGAGAATGAAGTTAACAATAGCATAAATATTATAATAATAAGATATACACTATATTTATTGAAAATGTATCAGGAATATTACAATAAAGTTTTGATAATTAGAAAAACTTAATATAAGTTAAATTTACTATTACATTCCTCAGTTTTGAGTTATCAAGACTTAGCTATAGTTTATTAACTTTCTAACTTTTTAACTTATTAACTTTCTAACTTTCACCAGAATCAATGTATATCCAGTAGAAAAAGTTATATATGACAATATCTATGAATACACTTTGGAGTTCCATTAATGTGTTAATCCTACAATAAAAACAACTACTTTTATAGTCCCTTCAATATTGTCATTATTAGTTTCTATCAGGGCTTGCAAACGTTATACATGATAAATAAAAATTAACATTTTTAAATCTAATCAAATGGAAAAATCAAAATACCACATAACAATTAACTATAGATATAAGTATCATTTAATGATTAAATAAAACAAAATAAAAAAATGAATATTTATTATAAAATTAATATTATATTGTATAATTCAATATATCTTTATTTTTTTTAGGGTTTTATTTTCATGGAAATATTTTTTAACGCAATTAATTTCCATCAAACGATAAGCATTATAGACTGTATTTTACTTAATTAAATCAAGTATAAATCTACTTTTATTTTTCTAACCATCATATCAAATGCCCAATGAAAAAGGTTGTAACTTGACTATTTTTTTATACTGAAACTTGTAATAATTACGGTATCCTCCATTCTACCAATGATGTTATTTTTGAAAATGTACGTTTAAAAATAGAATAAGAATATGAATTGAAATGCTTATTTTATTCATATTGTAAAGTTAGAAAAAACGAATAATGGCCTTTTTCATTGGGGCAGTCGATGATAAGAACAGATGATCAAATAGGAAATTACTAGCAATTTAAAGAACCATTAAAAACGATTAATTTATGATGATCGGGTTAAATTTACATTGTTATTTTATCATTATTTTCTCAATGTATAATACAGTGGTCTCAAACACGCGGCCCGCAGGCCACGAGCCATTTCAATGTGGCCCGCAATGAATACTTATTTCTTAATTTTTTTTTTTTGTATATAATATTTTATTTTTTGACAGCCTGGTATAAAAGAAAATTGTCAAATATCAAGTGATGCTCGATAATAAAAATAAATTATTATAATTATTAAACAAAATCAATACACAGTACAATGTCCATTATTGTCATAATTATAATATATATATTTCGTAATAATAATTATAATTAATAAAAGAAATAAATTTTGTCTTAATTAATTTTAGGTTAAATGTTAAAATGAGTAAAAAAGTGTTTTGCCCGTGAACCTTTGACGTAAATATAGATAGCCCGCTGGTAATTTAAGTTTGAGACCACTGGTATAATCCATATAAAAAACCAAGATATACATATACCATAATATAGGTATTTTATAGTTATTTTACTAACAGAGTATATAAGTAGTCTTTGCCTTTTTTGACCATAGTCCATATTTTTTAATCCCTTTACAATTTACAGAGTTTCCCAAACTGTGGTTCGTGGACCCTTAGGGGTCCTCACATATACCGGAGGAGGTCCGCGAACGTAAATTTAAAATATACAAAGTATTATTATTAATTATTGTTTTTTAATTTTTATTTGTACTAAAGGATCAGCGATCATTTTTATTATCTCTAAGGGGTCCAGCAGAAAAAAAGTTTGGGAAACGTTGCTTTAAATAACAGTATATACACAGCAAACAAGCCAAAATAAACTTACTACAATGTTAATGGACGAGAAGAGTTAACCAAGTGCTAACCTGGCAATAATTAAAGTTCCCTCTCCCATACAAGTCATGTCACTAATCTACTATAGAATGAGTATTTGTATATTAAATGTCTCTCATGTCCTATTATTCCAAAACACCATGAAAACTCAAAATTAAACATAAAAATTGTCTCCCCTCGTGGATTTATTGTTTAACCATTATATTCAGTCTAACTTCCCAAGATCCTTACTGGTCTTTACAGATGGTTCTGTGTTGACCAACCAGTTCAGCCGATTGTTCCTCTTCATATTCAAACTAAATAGAACCTTTTCTAACAACCTAAACTCGCTTTTGTCATATTTTACTGCGAAGTTTTACACCATTATACACGCTTTTTGAGTTCATCTTCTCTCTTGACTTTAGTAACTTCCTCATAAATTCCTACTCACAATCATGTTTCCTAGCTATATCTTCTGATTCATTCAATTCCTTTCTTTTCCCTCCTGGGTTTTCATCTAAACCCTAATATTCCACCTCAGTTTTAATAAAAAAACGATCAAATTCTTGGGAGTTCCAAGTTACGTTGATATCACAGGCAATGAACAATCAGACACTAAATTCTCCAATCAAATTCCCAGCTCCCGTTATCTTACCGATTCACTGCAAACTATTGCAGAATGCTTGGCAATCTAAATGCTCCTTTCTAATTATGGTGTTTGGCATAGACAAATCACTCCCACTATCCCTTAATATCTATGGTTAAATGACTTAAAGATTTATAGACAACTAATCGTCACTTTCACCCTCCTTAGAATAGGCTACAATCTACTTCTTTACCATGGCTTTAACCTCTCATATAACTCTTTTTCTATATGTACAACACAATGACACCGTCTGTGACTTCAATCATATTATTTTTCACTGTCATTCTCTTCCTCTTTTCCCTAGCCTACAACTTCTTTTTTTCTTGCCTATCTTCTTTTGGTTATATAGTTACTGAAGCTAATTTTCTCCTTAATTCTTGCTCCATTTCTTTCATCCATTTCATTATCAAATTCATTAGTTCATCTAGCTTCTTAATTTAACCAGTTGTTAGTTTTCTTTATGTGTAATTAGTCTGATTTATTTTAACCTAATTGCTTTGTTGTAATGTGTTTAATGAAGGCAAAATATATATATATATATAGATAATTTAGATTGTAGATATTTTAATAAATAGAATAAATGAAAAAAAGTTTTTAACGTGTAACATCTTAACGTTTTAAATATTTTATAATGAAAAGTTGGATACCGTTTTAATCACTGATAACACAAAACATAAATGTTACTTAACATTATAACTTTAAATAATGATAAACGCAAGTCTTAAAACGTTTTAATTGTAACTAACATAAAACGATTTTTTTTCTTTGAATGCAAGCCCTGGTTTCTACCATACTTTATATTTAATATTATTTTTTTATAACTGTTAATATCTTTACTATATACTTAAAAAATTAGAGTATGAAAATTAAAATAACTGTCGCCCCGCTATTCCCTGAATACATAAAAATATACTTGTTTTATTAATAATAAATATTTAACGAACAAAAATATTAAATTTAAAAAAGGATCAGGTACCGCATGGGAATTAACTAACTGATATTGAAGAATTGTTATTAAATAATAATAGTTCTTAATTTCAAAAATAAATTCTATTAAATATTATGTCTATTTTTTGGACTTCGAATGATGAATTTAATAAGCTTTCTACAGAAAGAAACTTTTTTTTTTACAATTTTATATTGTTACTGTGCAGTTATTTATATTACAACTGTTTAAATACTCACTCTCAGTTTGGCAATACATAGCAGTTCTAAGTGTGGATGATGAAGGCGTAATAGATTTGTAGTGGAAACCATTTTCATTGAGGCCATTTGAAGTACTACTACTCACTGATGAGTAACATTGTATTACTGGTAGAAAAGATTGTTCAATAACTTGGTTTGGTGGTTCTATATAGGCTATATACTGTTGAAAAAAAATCATACTTTTATTATTAACTATAATAATTATAGTAAATACGATAATTTAATATAATTGGTGGTTTAAGCAATTTCCAATACAAACATGTGAATATATTAAAAAATGTTAATAAAAAAATCAATAAAGCAATTGATTAGTTTTAGGCAAGAGTATAAATCATAATATAAAAACAATTGTAATTAGTGATTGGAATAATCGAATAATCGTATGATTAGTAGTCAACAACAAAATAATTGATTGATTTTAATAATCAAATAAATTTTTCACTCAAAACAATAAAAAATTGAATGGTTTTCTCACTTGAATGATAAAATAATTGAATGGTTTTTTTTATCTCACTACCTGTATACTATTGATAACATTAAAGTTAATGGTACAGTGTGTTATACATATGAATAATATATGTAATACAATTAGGAAACTCACTGGAAGTAATATCAACTACTTTTTTATAATCTTTTGAATAGATCATCGGTGAATTAACTATTTCAAGTAAAGAATAAAAAATATAAAATAGAACAAATACTTATTATAAGTATTTAATTGTAAAATATAAAATAAATACCATAAATATAAAATATTTGAAACTCACACAATATTAAAAACTTAATAATGTATAAAATATTAATGATAATCTGGAAACTGCGTCTTAAATTGCAAAAAAAGTGTCGGTTTATAAAGTTAAATTTAAATTACTATTTAAAATACAATATAATTAAAATTTTCAGGATGAAGTCTGTTCCAACAGTCGTTATTTATCCCGTTTTTTAAAACACACATAAGTCACGGGAACACATAAATATTTCAATTGTATTAAGTTCAGGAAATGTATTTTTGTGTTGTTATATATATCTGTGGGTTTTTACTACTAATTTTTATCATATGAATGTTTTATTTGATTAATTTGTTCGAATGATTTTATTTCAATGATTTATTCGGTTATTTAATAAAATTACGAATGATTTTAAAAATAATCAAATTGATTCTATTATTAAAATAATGGAACGATTCGATTATTTCCATCACTAATTATAATATAATTGTATAAAAGGCGTGTTAAAAAATACTCTTTAAGACCAGGCTACCTAGAAGTAAATCCATAATTCCATTCTTTTTAATTAAACGAAAGAATGGTTTAAACCTTATTATTACCCATGCAACTATAAAACATTATATAATCGCTATATCTCATAGAATAATTATAATAATATTAAATATTAATAATTCAATTTACAATTGATCATAACAATAATTGTAAATACAATAAATATCTTTATATTAAAAAACATGTATACATATAAAATACATGTATAAATATTTATGAAATAATTCTCTTATTTCAGTATTCAACGTTAAGGTTAGTTTAGCAATTTTCCAGTTTCACCACTCAACTCTATAACTATTACTAGCCTTTTCAATTTTCTGTAATTTTTTAGTTTCGTATCAGACATGGTTTTGATGTATGATATTTATGATTTTTCTTAGTTTTTTATGTAATTTTTTTTCTTTTCTATTATAAGATGTAGAAAACTCTCTTGTTGTCTCAGAACATGTTCAATCATATCTCCTATTTTATTTTTAATTATATTGAGTATCTTCTTAGTTTCATCTATTTTGTATTCTACAATGTCATTTGTTTTTTATTCTGTCCTTCTCACCTTGTATAATTCTTTTTCTACACATCTCAAAACTTGATCGACTGAACAATCCTAGATTATATTTTAATTACCTTCAATCATGGCTGGTTGTACTATCTAAATCAGAGGTTTCCAAACTGTGCGCCGCGGCTGACTCGATATCGACTATGTTATCTGGTCTAAAAATAAACAACGGTATTTTATGATGACGAATACCGTCATTTTTATTACCATTATCTTGATTCCTACAATAAGTTATTATTACTATACTAACTAATTATTGTATTTGATATAGATAAACGACTGTTCGTGTCTGGTGAAATTCGTTTTTGCGTTAGTACCTATTTATTACCTATACACGTATACGTATCAGTCTCGGTGTGTTATAATATTTTGTTAAAGTTTCTTAAGAATATATATATATAGTAAGTTCTGTGATTTTTTTTTAAGTTGTAACTTTGTTCTGTGTTTATTTATTATGTATCGATTTTTATTAAACAATCGTAAACGTACAAGTACATGTGAAGACGAAGAAATTTTACAATTAACCAGTTGCGGTGAAACAGTAAAAAAGCGAAACTGTCGATGATAGTTATTTGGATTTTGGTTTTACGTCAACAGAAATTAACGGTGAAGAAAGACCACTATGTGTAGTATGTATGAAAGTTTTGGCATCAGAATGCATGTTGCCGAGTAAATTGAAGCGCCATTTAGAAGCAAACCACAAGTATATGATTGACAAACCTCGAGATTATTTTATTAGAAAGTTAAAAGAACTAATACAGGAAAGAAGTACGTTTTTCAAGAATGCATCAATACCAACCAATGCTTTGATTGCATCTTATAAGGTGTCCTATAGAATTGCGAAATGTAAAAAGCCCCATACCATTGCAGAACAACTTATCTTACAGGTTGCTAGAGATATGGTAAATATTATGGTTGGTGAATCTGCTGGGAAATTATTCTCAAAAGTGTCCTTGTCCAATAATACGGTTAGCCGCAGAATTCACCATATGGCGGAGAACCTCAATGATCAATTGATAGAAAAAATCAAAGAAAGGGAATTTGGGTTGCAGCTGGACGAGGCTACGGATACTAATAAGGATGCTCATTTGATATGCTATGTTAGGTTTATAGATGATGATGTCATGTTAGAAGACCTACTCTTTTGTAAAAATATTACAGCAAGCGCCAAAGCTCAGGACTTATTTGATATTCATAATAATTTTATGTCAGAAAATATGTTGGATTGGACTAAATGCGTTGGCGCTCGTTCCATGTATGGCAATTATGGAGGATTATAGTCACTTAGCCCCTGATGCACTGTGGACCCATTGTATTATCCATAGAGTAGCACTTGCGGCAAAATATCTAAGTCCCGCGCTGAACCAAGTATTAGAATGTAGTCAATTTTATAAAACTCGTCCACTGAAAGCAAGATTTTTCAAAAAATTATGTGACGATATGGGAGCTGAACAATCAAGTTTGTTGTACTACAGCAGTGCACGATGGCTATCTCGTGGTAATGTTTTATCACGTATGTTTGAACTACGCCAAGAAATTTATATATTCCTTAAAGAAGAAGGGCACAAATATGCCAATGAATTTTCTGACGAAAATTTTTTAATAAAATTGGCATACTTGTGTGACATTTTTGAAAAACTGAATGCATTGAACACCTCATTGCAGGGAAATAATATGAACATTTTGAAGTCGATGGATAAAATGACAGCGTTTATAAAAAAACTCAAACTATGGAGAAGACGAATGAAGATACGAGCAAAGATTAATTTTCCATATTGCAGCAGTTTCTGACCTCTAATAGAGTTGAGATTTCTCAAGATATGAAATCCATTTTTGAAGATCACTTAGCACAGCTAGTGATATGGTTTGAGAAATATTTTAAAAATGAAGACACTGCTAAATTTGTATAGATTCAAGATCCATTTAACTCCATTGTTCCATCAGAATTTATTTCTACTAAAGAAGAAAGTCTAATTGAGTTGTCTTGCGACAGTAGTTTGAAATCAAAAATTTTAAATATGGAATTGACATAATTTTATATTTCAATATAAAATGAATATCCCTTTGTATGTGAAGCTGGGTTTTCGGCGGTCGCTGTGATAAAAAGCAAATATTGGTCAAAAATTAATGTGGAGAAAGAAATGAGAGTAGCAGTATCAAGTTTGATCCCAAGATTTGAAAAACTATGCAGTGATGTCCAGGCTCATCCATCTTACTAATTCAGTTGTTTTTTACAAATAAACTATGTCTAATTTACTTTACCTAATAAAATTAAAATTAAATATTTCAGTGTATAATTATATAAAATAAATATTTCCATATTATCTATTGAAAATTATACATGTTATTTTATTTAAAAAAAGGTCGTAAATTTTATTAAGGGCGCCATGAGCAAACTTTAGTTCTAAAAGGGCGCCACGAGTAGGAAAAGTTTGGGAACCTCTGGTCTAAATATCTAAATCTTTCTACTTGGTGAAGGGTGTAATTACCAATTTAAAGTCATTAACTTATAAATATAATGTATTTTTTGAAACACCATTACCTAGGTTAAGTGATATACTTGGAAACATCTTGTCATTCCGATTAGCACTCTTCATATTATTGGTAAGAAAAGCTTTGTAGTCAGCATTAATTTTTTTTCTACTACTAAGCTAGTTTGTTTTTGGCAGGTGTAACTTTAATTTCTTTGATAAATTATTCCATACAAACATTAAAATATATTGATGATACAGTGCATCCTTGTCTTACTTATACCTTTTTTACTTTGGCAGTCACAAATTTGTTCAAAAACTATATTATGGTTGATTGTTCTTTATATATATAAATATATCTTGCTCATTAACTCATTAATCTCCTATTATTACTAAGTTTACTCTAAGACACTTGGTTACAGAATAATGCATAAAATTATACTTTATCATTGTCATCTGCATTCTTATAATATTATGCTATCATATAGCTATAACTTTCACTAATAATAGTATGTCACTTTAAGCAATCATATTCGTTACTCATAGACTGCATTTCATGTTTATAAAAAACGTAACTTACTGACTTTCTTTTTCACAATAAAAAAAGAATAATAACTAGCTGTGTATACAGTTAAACTAGTTTCAAAACTCTACAGCATATAATTTTTGAAAAGGGGAGCTCAATATCAAAAAAATCATTGCAAGATCTGATGATCTTGAGAGAAAAACTAAAAAATTCTAATAAATTATTTAAACTTAGTTATAAATAGTAAATACAAAACCCTAAAATTTTGTTTTGAACCACCAAAGGATTCCATTAGTTAGTTTTGTTAATGATTTAGAGCAAATATATATGTTACCTTAAAAGTTCAAAATTAGCTTAAGTTAGGTTTTACTATTATCTAGTACTCAGTATAAATTAAAAATTATCATTTTATTTGGATTTTAATTAAAAGCTTTCTGTACATCTTAGGATATAAAAATAGTGATAGTAAAATCTGATTAATACATAAAATAATTCATTTCAATTCCAACTATACATCTGTTTGTTAAAAAACTGTTTTTCAAATCAGTAATTATTACTATATATGTTACCGGAAAAAATGACAATCAGTCCGTGTTGACAATGACTAGTCAATAACGATAATGCCTGATTTAGTAAGGAATTAATGTCAATACCTAGTCATTGATAACAATTCCTAATAAAAGAAGGCATTGATGATAACATTAAAATTGAATCTGATATATTTTAATACTTATTAGCTAGTTAGTAAAAATCATAATCTTAATCTTTATTGTTACGTGATAAACTACTATGACACTTGGAATTATATAATCTAGTACAGCGGTACCCAAAGTATGCTCCGCGAAGCCTTTGGTGCTCCGCAATGGTTTGCCTAGGGCTCCGTTTGTAACACCACAAAAAATTTAAAAAAATATTCGTCATTTAAAATTAATATATATTTCATGAAAACTTGAATGTAGCATAATCAAATCGATCACCGATAAAGCGGTGTTGATATTTGTTTGAATGCGGATTTATAACATTGCCTAATATAATACAGAAATGCTGATAAAACTACGAAATATCCAACATTGCCTAACTTTTCCAGTCATTGTCAACAATGACTAGGATATATTGACAATTCCTGAATTTTCATCTTTTCCGGTAACATATATAAATAATGATTCTAATAATATCAATAACTATGGCTAATATTTTAAGAAAAACAAGTTATTTATTGGTCATTCTCTGGAATTTTTACTTGTATTGTCTGACCAATTAAAAAACCAGACAATTTAAATTTTTGTTATTTGTTTAACTAAAGCATGAAGTAATTTGTCATATGACTTTATTAGAACATTCAGATAGATGATGATTTGCAATTATTTTTATTTTTATCTCTCATCACAGTAAATGTGTACTAGCACAATTTGTTCATCTTCAGTAAAAGCCTGAATAAAATTTAAATGTTTAACTTTTACCAAATATAAATAGTAACACCTAACTTTAACTAATAATTTAATTTTTACAGTAACATACACATTCAGTGCAACAAAAGAAATTAAATAAAGAACCAATAGATGAAGAGTTAGAAAATATTAAGTATTAGATGTTCATCAAAAGTGGACATTAAGTAGTGAGTTTTAATTAGTTTTAAATCAAAATAAATATGTATACATATAATATTGCAATGTGCACCATAATTATGAAATAGAAACAACAAAATAATTTTTAATTTTTAAGGAATTCCAGTATTAACTTTTATAACCTAGTTTTCAAAAGAACTTTTTATTTTAGTTTAATTGATTATTTTACTAACTATTAACTCATAACTTTTTGTGATAATTTCACCCAAGTTAATACTTTTCATTAGCACGTCCACTTTTGATATTCATTAACAAAAAAAAAAAAAAAAAAATCATAAATTACTTTTAATATTGGTTGAGATTGAATAAATTGCATTCTTGTGATGGTTAAAATGTATTAAAAGTAGAATCAATATACAAAATGTTCCATAAAAAAAAAACCTATCAGTTTATGCTTCGAATATGTACTAGATCTAGAACATGTATGGTATACATTAAAGAATAACACATATTCTAATTGGCCATACCTAGAAAATACAATACATTGTTTTCAAACCTTGAAACAAGGACAATTGCTTAAATAACCAATGTAAAAAAAAAACAAACTAATAACTAAATTGTGGTTTTAATAACTATAATAAATTAAATATTTATTTAAACTTATAAATAGTATAATATACAATTTAATTACCTGTACGTCATTCCCATTACTAGTATCAGCTTCAGCATTATTTTCATGAACATCTTCTTCATCATCAGATAATAGTGAAATTACTTCATTTGTCGCAAATAAGGGCTGCCGAGCTACATTATTTCCTAACACACCTCTGTTGTTTCTAACCTGTCTAGCTCTATCTCTAGAAGTCAAGTTCATTAATGTTCCTCTTGTATCAACCTGTGATAAATTACTAGTTTGGGATGATGTAATTTCTACTTGGGTGGTTGTAGGTGAATTTGTGTTATCAGTAATTTCTAATCGTCTTATTCTGACAGTGACAGGATTTTCTGTAACTAATAATTAAATATAAAAAAATAATCAAAACCAACACAAAATAATTTAGTTATTAATTTTATGGTAAAAAATTTAAAGAAAATATCATGAAGAATATTTTAAATTTAATAAACCTAAAATAATGATTAGCACTTTAATTCAAATAATATAAGTTTATTTAAATTACAAAGTCATATTTATGTAAACCTAGAAATTATCTCAATTAATAATATAGTAATAATGGAATTGATCATTTTTCTGTAATCCTGAGTTCATAAAATCAGTAATGCTATTGCTACATACATTAATTTTAAGTGTTTTAAAATGTATTATGGAGGTAAAATAATGTAAACAATAAAATAATATAAAAAATCATACCAGCTATACTATGACAGGAGTTACAGTACCACTGTTCATTACACTTAAGAGAACTGCACAACTTATGTGTACCATATGAACCACAAGCATGACATAATATTATTTCCCAGGATCCACTAATAGAAAAAAAAAAAGTAAAAACAAAAATTCCAAAATTGAATTCTATGTGTAACAGAAAAACATAAAAATATGTTCACAAGTTTATATATACCTGGATCAGAATAAGAAGATAACCATTCGTGCACAACAGACTGGAACAAAATAACTTCTACCCATACCAAGCCAACACCCAATTTCTTTACAGAGTTTAATCATTATACACAATAAATAAATGTAAATACCAAAGTACATACAAATAATTAAGTGTAAACTTTACATGCACTTGGTGGCCAATTTAATAATGTTGCCTGAATGAAACAAATATAAATATGTAGGCCTCTGATCATCTTCTTATTCTGTCCTGAGTAAAGACAGAATGAACCCTATTTATATACAATAATACACACGTATAAGAAAAAATTGTTTTTTATTATTATTATTATTATTTTTTTTATAGTATCAAAATTGTAATATTTGAATAATGTAAGATATTCAATAAAACTATAAAAATATTTTATAAATCTAAGTGTTTCGAATATTCATAAACCATTTATACCAATTGTTAATTTATTAATTTTTAAATAACTTATTAAATAAAAAATAACTGTAAAATTTTAATATTAAATAAACATATTACTCACGTCTCTTGTTGAAAGTTCCTTCTCTCTGGATGAGGACATAAACATGTATCAGCATTGCAAGTACTATGACGTTCTAAAAGCTCAACATATGCGTCAGGTACTGTTTCCCATGATGCATCCCTGCGTATTAATTTTTTCTTGTGACTGTGTATATATAAAAATTAGGCACTCGTTCAATATGCTATCTACAGCACATTTGGTGATGAAGTATATTATAAAGAATAATGATAGGCTCCTATCAAATTTTATTATACCTATAGATATTTTATAATTTTGTAATTTAAATTAGGCTTTTTACAATAGAAATTATAATAGTTCAACTAATATATATATATAATATCTGAAAATAGTCAATCTTTTGCGTTATGATATTGACTGTAATTATTTGTAACAATATTACATTTAAAATTAAAAGATATAAGTTTTTAAACTGATAAATACACAAGATTTATTAAGCAATGAACAATCATGTACTAAAATAAAAATGTCACCATGCAAGTTCTTAAAAATAGTAGAAAACAAGATTCAGAAGGAAATATTTTAAAACTAATTGAACGAGTACCAAATCGATATACGGTTAAACTATGTATGTGCTCAAAACAATAGTTTTAATTTAATAAGTAAATAACTCAACTTGATTTTAATTATTTTTAAGTTCTTTTACAATAAATTTATACAATTTGTTTGAAATTAACTATTAGATAAAAATTATTATTGATACAGTTTAACCTTGTTAAGACAGATTCATATGGTTCCAAGTATCAGTAAGTATTTTATCTTGTCCATTAAACCATTTAACATTGTTTACATTACATTTAATAAACTATATGAAAATTGTATAGACATTTTGTCTGATGGCAAACACAGTTATTCAATTTGTATAGACAGTATAGTTAAATTATTGGTGTTGAATTAACAAAAAATTACTAACCAATTACTAACCAGGAACAAAAATAGAAAAAATGTTATTTTATTTAATATTCTCTATAAATGCATCTTAACAAGGTTCTTCTTGATTATAACTTGGTTAATTTTTTAATAAAAAATAATTCATTTTATTACTAATTTGTTTTTTATAGGTTTTTACTTCATTGTTTTTAAAAATTTTGTTTTACACAAATACATGTCTATTTACTAATTTAAGATAATATTTTATTAGATAAAAAAGTATTACCTTGATGGTATATAAATCCCAAGAGTAAGCATCCTACTCTTGAATAATTCAACATTATTACACAATGGACATTTAAAAAAGTAGCCAGCATTTAATGCCAATTCTTGAATACAGTCTCGATGAAACCAAGCATTACGTTTGCAACATGGAGCCCAGATAGATGATGGAAGAGGAGTAGGTATAACATCTTCTTTACAAATAGAACACTGAACCGGAGTGGAATGTTGTATGTCTTGGATATCTATATTTTGTGCTACTCGATGCTGTTGGCAAAAAGATCTAACACATCGGTTTCCATTAAAATCAGATGCATATTTTTTTTAAAAAAATCACATACTTGAATGTTTGAAAAAATTGATGCATTGATCCATTTTTCAATCCACAAGGTAGATGAAATATTTTACGACATCTTGGGGTACAACATGATATAGTAGCACCAGGTTTCTTACAGTAAGTGCAGATCTAAAATTATCAGTTATAAATATCCTACATATTATAATGTACAATACAATATTTTATATACTTCTCTAGCTCCTCTAATCAATTCATTTTTAATATCTTTAAATAAAAATCCCCAAATTCCTTCCTTATCTGAACCATTTTGAACTGCTCTAGAAGATAACAACTAAAAAATTTTTTTTATTAAAAATTAAGTTCAACTGCAAATTTATAAATTGTACTTACAATACAAAAATAATGAACAATGATATCGTTAAGTTGATAAAGTGGACCATATGCTTTTTCACTTATTTCTTTTCTATTGCAAAACATACACGCTTTACCATCTCTAAGGCTTAGCACTACCATTTTATCCTTGAGCATCGGCTGTTTTGCTGTTACCTTACGTACATTCTTATGTTCTGAGAAAAATTATAACTGATTAGACCACAAGTTTTTTGGATATAATACTTCTTTAATATAAAAGAACATTAGGTAAAGAAGAATTATTTATATTCAAATTTTAAATTAAAATCAACACGAGAAGAATAAGATATTTTATAAAGCATACTAATGACAACAGTAACTAGCTAAGTTAAATAATTAAAAGTGCATTAATGGTACATGATACCATGCTAACTCATAAAACTATCTAATTTGAATGAGAATTTTTATTTTTTCCCTTCAATTAACACATTCACTTCTGCAAGTATATTTCTAATCTAGCCTCCTAATATACGCCGCGTAATTGTTGATAACATAATACATGTGAAAATCTGTGATGAACAGCCGCTATTACCTTTATTTATATTGGCAATAGCTGCTGCCCAGCACAGATGATATCTGTATAATATTTTTAAGGTGTTAAACGAAATACATCCAACATAAAGAATAGTGAGGCACACTTCTGTTTAGAAAACATGAGCTCGGGACAGTACGTTTGATCAGCTATCAAGGGACGGCATATAAGAATAGTTATAGCATCAAAGAAAAGCAACGAAATCGTTTTCAAGAACAACTTTAAATAGAACACTTACTTCTCCTGGTCACCGGCGCCATTACTAGTCTCCGTTTGTAGGTCCGGTAAATCTTAATAGTCGTCGGCCCCGACTAATGTCGATAACATGAAGTCAGGTAAATAGTCGTCACTGTGCCTTGTGATCGAAACAACACAACCAATATGTGTGAGAAGCAAGGTGACAAGTACTTGCAAATTCTGAACGACGGTCTGACTAGAAAAGGTAGTTACTGCGAGAGACGGAACCGACTGGACAAAAATGGATGACGACGACGACCACGACTTTTGTGTTCAATACTCAACTCGGCAGACATGAAGTGTAATTATTGAACGGATAATTCAAGGCTTGGTGTGGTCGTCGTCCCTAAGAGTGCAGCGAACACATTTAGCCGTAACTGGACGTTATTTGGAAAGTTCTTGGGTGAAAAAAAAAAGCCCGCCTTGAAGACGACAAACAATAAACTGGAAGTATGAAAAACAATTATAGAGACGCGGGTGTATGGCAGCTATTAGGTCGTTCGTTCGGCCGTTCGCTGCTGATATTTGTTACATTGGTTACTTGTTGCCAACAGTGTCGCCAAATTTTGATAGTAAAAATTATGTTTGAAAAGCTTGGAACAATCACAGAATAATATATTAAATATTATATGTATTATAGGTATACATTATTATATTATAATTTAATAACAGTGCTCAACTTTAGGGATGACGGAGTACCCCAATAATTTTCAGAAATGTTAGTGTCCCCCTACTGTTATTACATTATAATTATAATTCTTAACAAATTTTGGGGACGCTCTTGTTTTTTTTTTAGTAAACTGTGTCCCCTTTCTTTAATTTTGCCAAGTCAACCAATGTTTAATGTATCAATGTATAACGTATAAATGTATTCTGTGGAACAATTGTCTCACAGTGATGAGGATATTGATAATATACGAATTAAAGTAGCAATATGTGGCAAATATACAATAACAATAAGTGTGTATTGACTAGTTAATTTTGAGAAAACAGTTTACTCAATCGGTAAACATAGTGTTTTGGAGTGATAGTTTAGCGCAACTGTTTGCTGCGTGAACGCAATTTATGGCCAACATGTCGAATTGAGTAAACAACTATGTGTGATGTTTTCTGTATTGGTTACTAATCGTATTATATACATAGTATATAAATATTTTTTAATGGGCTAATATTCAATTTAAAATTCAGTCATGGTAATAACAGTGGTGAATAAAGAGATAGTTAACACATTTCATACAATATAAGAAAAAAAAGAAGAAAAAAGGGAATATAATAATAATAAAACAAAAATAATGTGGCATTATATTATAAAGATTATAATATGTTGTAATATATAATTTATTGATATCCTAAAAATAACGCTTTTTTTAAATTAGCTAAAAAAAACATTTTATTTTTCAAACAAATACAATAAGGGAAAAGTACAGTCTCAATATAACATCAGGTTTACGAATGAAAAATAATATCATTCAAATGTCCTCCCTAGCTTGTTAACGAGTTTCTATGTTGGCAATACCGTAATCAGTTATTTTTTTTTTTATGGTTGTGAGAGGACAAGCTGTCACCAGGGTTTCCTTAAAGCAGGGTTCACACTACACCGTGCCGTGTCGTGTCTTGTACAATAATTATCTCTGATTGGCTGAACCATATTGTTACATCAAGGTATACCGTATAATAAATCACAAGTTACCTCACTAACCATAAGATACCGTGAAGTTGATCTTATCCAACTTTTGAGGGTGTAATTACCGATTTTAATAGTAATAATTTAATATTCTATGATGACAGTAGTCATAATAACAAAGGGCTCGGAATGTGTTGCATTTACACGATTTTATTGGGCTATTCAATTTATTGCTTAGTAACCTTGAAATTATTTTCATGACACTATGAAAAACCTAATGGGAACATTTTGAAAAAAAATTTTAAATTTCAAATTATTTATTTTATTTTATTTTATCTTATATATTTATACCTAGAACTTATGTTTAGCTTAGTATAATATACTAACAACATTTGTACTGTTATGTACGTGTATATTTAATAAAATATAATTATGAACATTTTTGTGTTAAAAAAAAATTAAGTGCATATTTTTGAAATATATTTGTATTTTTTTAAGCGCATAATTACATGCATATTTAGTACTTTTTAAGTGCATTAAGTTCGGAACCCTAATAATATTATACAATACATACTGTTTATTATGTAATTTAATATTCATCAGTTATTATTTATTGAAACTTATGAAAATATTTCATATTTAATAAAAAAAACTGCGAAAATATGTAACCAAAATTTGATAGCATCATCATAAGATATATATTGGTATCAGTGGCGTAGCCAAGGGGGGGCTAAGGGGGCTATAGCTTCCCCCATGGGCCGTGTTTATATGTATAATGTATCTTGACTATTTAATAGAATCAATGCTCTTTTAATCAAAGGCTTATTGATGTTATGCCACTTGAAGGACTTATTCCGGCCAATTTAAATATGTATGACGATAAAAATATTATAAAAGCTGCTAAAATATAAGTCCAAGATCTCCATGATGATACTTCATCTACAATCAGAGCTGACCTGTTCATATGGGGACAACAATGGAGTCAAAATACTATTCCAAAACCGAATTCTGCTCTTGATTCACTCTCTCATCGCACCAATCTTCGACCTAACATTAAAATACTTTTACAATTATTCGCCACGTTACCAGTTACCTCTTTCACTCCGGAAAGAACGTTTTCAGCACTTAATCGCTTAAAAATTTTTTTAAGAAGCACCATGTCGGAAAACAGACTGAATGGGTTAGCTATGGCTAATATAAATAAAAAAGAGCAATTCCATGAAAGTGAAATAATAACTGAATTTGCCAGAAATTCGCCTAAGAGAATGCAGCTGTCAGAGTGGAGCAAGTGACTGAACACTGAAACTAAATTATTATTATTATTATAAATTATATATTAATAAATATTTTTAAAACTATACTAAAATCCTTGAAAGTTTAGAAACTTGGTGGTAGATGGTTGGGGTGGGGTTAAGGGTGAATTCTCATATCCTCTCTTACCTTACTTATCCAAAAAAAAGTGGTTAGCCCCCCCCATTTAAAAATCCTGGCTACGCCACTGATTGGTATCACACATTTTCCAAACACACGGTCTGGTAAAATACACGTCACGGTGTAGTTTGAACCCGGCTTAACCGTTAATTTTTAATTCAGTTCCATAATTTGTTTTTGAACTTTATTTATGATAAACGTTAAATCAAGCTATGTTCAACAAACGGTTTTAGATTAGAGATGGAAAGTTTAGTTCATTTCTGTGAATAGTTCATTCAAGTGAATAGTTCAAATGAATTATTCTTAAGTTCACGTAGTTCACTATTTTATTGATCATACTGATATTGTTTGGCAATGAACTATTCGTTTTATCACTATTAGTATAGCAGTACACAGTTCAGCAGTAGTTCACACTACTTATGGGCAATTAAGTATTTGTTATCTAATTGTAAACGGCTGTTTACCATTTACAGGATTTCGAACAACGAACCACAGAGAATTTTTAAAGAAGTTCGCGAACTATTTCATTTCTACAATGCTACCAATTTTTTTCGAACAGTGAACTATTAAGTTACAGGTACTGAAACAGTTCAGAATAGTTCATCAAAGTGAATAGTTCAAACGAACTATTCGTTCACGAACTTAACATCTCTATTTTAAATTTTAACGTTGTAAACTAAATGGCTCACCGAAAATTTTACTAGAAAAACGTTAAAATTGTTAATGTTTTTTGAAATGTTCGCCCAAAAAACGTAAAAAAAATTAAAGTTCTTGAATGGTAGACCTAATAAACGTTGTTAAGTTATTCATTCTTGTAAATTTAATTAGAAGAACATTTCGAAATATTAAGTTCTTGAACATTTAATTAGAAGAACGTTTTACAATCATATGTTATCGAATGCTTTAAAGTTATACGTTCTTGAATAACGTTTCTATTTCTTGAACGTTCTGAAAATGAACACAATTTTGAAGATGACCAAGTTCACATAGACGAAGAAAACAGTAACAATGTTTCTGAATGTTCTTGAATGAACAAGAAAATGAAAATAATCAAGAGACATTACCATCAATCTTCAACGATTTGGGTGCAGCAGTCAATACATCGGAGGAGTAGGCGATGTGCTGCTCATACTTTACAACTATCGATTTTAAATGTATTTAAAATATAAAGTATAGAATCAACTATAAACAAATCACGGAGATTTGTGAAGATGTTGAGATTACCAAAAAATTTGGAATCTCTCAAGAATATGAATATACTACTATATTATTACTCATAATAACTTATTACCTATATTATCATCATAATATTATATCCTCTTATATTGTCAATAATAAATGATCGGCTATTGGATTTATTTTGGCTACAGCTTCTTTAGTTCTTTCAAAGTCACATTATGCTGTTGGGGTATATTTTTAATCCTTATCTTAGTTATTAATAAAGACAGGATTAGATGTAATTCAAATTTTCATATTAAAGTATTAATTATTCTTAAATAATTTTAAATTCAAAATAGTTAAAAAAAATAATTTTGTTATTTTCAAAGTTCGAAAAACGGTTTAGTTTGTGTTGTTAAATATGTTAAAAGTTTGAAGAACGTGTTAGCTTATTACGTTCTTCGTGTAATTGTTAAAAGAACTTAATAAGTTATAACATTTTTCTAGCAATTGTTCAAAGAACTTGATAGGTTATGGCACTTCTCATGTCAATTTTTTAAAAAACTTTTTTAAGATTAAAACGTTTTTCATGAAAAAAGTCAGTGAACTTAATAGTTTATATAGTTATTTCATATGAAGGACCAATAAACTAAATTAAATAATTAGTTTTGTACCGTTATATTTTGGTTTATGAATAACAATAATGTTCTTTAACAGTTTTTTTACATTCCGTTCGGAAACCCTGCCTGTCACAATTAATGGTAAATAGTGATCACTAGGGCCCGGAAATTTATGCATTAGCATGTTCTTAATGAGTGCATCAAAAAGTTGCTGGATGAACTACAAATTTGAATCACCACCTGACGATTTCAAAAATGAAATTTTAGTTTGCATATTTTAAGGTTTATTACATAAATATGCATATTTTAAAATAAAATTGCATTTTACTGCATTTTACTTGCTATATATATTTTTTTTTATTAATGTTTCATAAAAATGTCGGATTTTGAGTATATTTCAAAATATATTTGTTAATAAATTAGTCTTTATAAAAACGTCGCCAATATAAAATAAAAACCTGTTTGAAATTATAGGTCGTACTCTGATAATTTAATACTGTGCAATTACTACTTTACATCCTGATGGGCGATAAGCTGATAATACATCTAGCTAAATTTAGGTCGTAGCCCATTCGGCTCCCGTTTCTCTAATCGGCTCTTGTTTTACAAAAAGGTCAATTCCCAAACGGCTCCCGTCCAAAAAGATCTAATGAACAGATAAATTCCTAAACGGCTCCG